AATAGACATTTGCAAATTTAATAAACAAACCAATCAAATACAAATTCAATCGTTTAACTAATTAATATCTTAAGAAATGTTTTCCATTCATATAGCACTGATCTATGATTACCAATTATCACTTGATTAAATTTTTTATTATCTATTGTACTTATAGCACTTATTTAACTAATTGAATTTGATATATTTTTAATAGTTAATAGAAAAAAAAAAGAGGAAAAGAGAAATTCAAAGTTACTATTAATAATTCTTATATCACATTAAAAATTTATTTAATAAATATTATTCTGTTTAATTTATCTTTCAGAATATTCCTCTAAAATTTTATCAATTGATAAGAAAAATGGAAGTATTAAGAATAATTTTTCGAGTAATTTATTCAAAAATTTACTCCTTAATTATTTCAATATTATCACTAACAATCTTATTATCGACGATTTTTAATATTTTTATTTCTTCGAATTTTTTTCATAAAATAATCTTATAAATGAAACTTATTGATAATAGATTAAACGAAGCATATTTAAAAAGAGAAAATAAAAAAAAAAGTTATTCAGTAAATTATTATTACAAGTAATTTGAATTCCTAATATGCATTCTGTAAGTAATTGTCCCCTTTTCTTTTTTTTTTTTTTTTTAAAAATTGACCACGATGAAATCATAAGATATTAAAATGTTTAAGCACATCTTTATAACATCGAAATGATAACTTTGTCATAAATATTTTAAAATTCAATCAAATTTTTTCCTTTTTTTTTTAAAGTTGAATAAATTTATTTATTCATCACTATATTTTCAACAAACCATATACGACTTTCAATTTAATCAGCTAATGAAAAACTTTGAAAAATTATAATTTAATTTCAAACTTTCCAATTTCCTTTTCTTTTTCACTTTCTTTCGTTTATGTTGCTTAATTTACTTTTTTTAAAAAAAATTTCCTTTTTTTTTACAAAAAAAAATTTTTTTATAAAATTTAGGAAAATCTTATAGGATTTGTATTTTTTTTTTATTGCAAAAATTTTACAATTAAGTCATTTTTGTTGCATATTATTATCAAACATTGGTTTATGTTGAATTTTAAAATGGTTAAAAATAAAATTTCCAAAAATGCCATTAAGTTAAGCCAGTTAAGTGGACAACATTACTCCATTTATAGCCTAATTAGCATTAATTATTATCGTCATTCTTAATTAATGAACAAGGTTAAACCTTAAATTAATGAACAAGGTTAGAGTAACATGTAGCAAAAAAAAAAAAAAGCTAAAGCGAATAGATAGATGCAATAATTAATCATCATTGTATAATTGAAATTAAATTAAAAATTTCAATTTTAAATTAAAATTTCGAATTTACTAAAAATGTATCAAAAACTAACCTTTATTACTTTCTACAAAACCAGTTGGTAATTCAATCTTTTCATCAAGATATGTTACTCTTACAACTTCCGCAATATCACCATACTTTATTTTATCTTCTTTCCACTTAAAAATAAAAAAATAAAGAGAGAAAATTAATTCATTTATAAATATAATATTATTGAAGAAATAAAATTAATTTCAGAAAAAAAATAATTTCTTCCTTTTTCTTTTTTAAAAATTTTTTTTTTTTTCATTGATAAACTTATAGTTATCATTTATCAGCATGAAATATTTATTATCTTATGATGATAAATACTTGAAACGAAAAATTTTTTTAAATGCTACTTAATTTAATAAATTACCTAATTTAATTAAACCACTCAATTACCTAATTTAATATTGAAATAAACTGTGAACTATTTGATTTAATCGAAATAAACTATTTAATTTAATTTAAATTTTTTTTTGAAATGAATCAATTATTTGAATCATGCAAAATTCTATCACAAGAAATACTGAAACGCAACAAAAAAAAAGAAAAAAATAACTCGTTTGCTTTTTCTTGTTTTTACTATTCATTGGTTTAAAAAAAAAAAAAGAAAAGATTTCTAATCGGTCATTCGCGAGAATGAAGATACTGTCCGAGAGGACGACAGCGCGGTGAATAAAAAACAAACCGGAAATGATTCTAATACCTTAAATGTTTTTCGTCAAAGTTTATTTTCAAATTAACAGAATTTATTACTTTTGAACCTCATGCTGTAAATGAAAAGTAACCATTGGTCAAGCAAACATTGAGAACCAACTAACTAGGCTTAAAATGTCGTAAAGTTTTAGTTAAAACAAATTTTTCTCATTACTTTACTTTTGACAAATCAACTAAACTTCACTTATTCATTTTATTTTAATTTGATAATTTGTTTAAAATCTAAAAATTTTTCTAAACCAACTAAAATTAACAAAATTGTCCATTTGTAAAATACAAGGAATTTTGTAAAATAAACATTTATAAAATATAAGGAAATTTTGAAATAAAAAAACGGCAAATAAATATGTGAAAATAATTAATTTATGCTAATTTCTCGTTTTTGGAATTACTTTAAATGCCTATAAATGGATGTATATGTATATATTTTAAGAATCATAAATTGGTAATAATTATTTTTCTAAATTAGTATTTGCAAAATTTTTTTTTTCACAAAATAATTGAATTTAAAATTTTCCACTCTAATCATTTTCTCTTCAACATTTTTTCTTTTAGTATCCAAATGTGGGAAAAAAAAAGAAAAGGTATAAAAGAAACAAATAATTTACTTTTTTTTGATAAAATTTTCCCCAAAATTTTTTTTTTAATCTTTAATTCCAAATCTTCAATACTTTTCTTCTTCCTCTTTCTCTTTTTCTCCTTTTTTTTATTTGGAAATACAAGTTTATGCTTTATTTTTTTTTTAACATTTATTATTGTCACCTTTTTTTTCTTCTTAAAGGTGACAAATATATCATTGCACATTTTTTATTGTCCATTCTTCAATTTCATCAGGCTATTTTTGTCATATTGTCATGCTTGATAATAACACTTATCAAATGCAACCCATTTTTTTAATACTTTTTCATTTAATTCATTTTCATCTCAAATCTGTCATAGATAAAGTATACCTATCGTATACCTATATAAAGTATATCTATAGATAAAGTATACCATAGATAAAGTATATAGAAGGTAATAAGAGATTTTTTTTTATTCAAATATGTCACATCTATTTATTCGATTGTTATCTGTTAGCTAAATTCTAAATGACATATAAGGTATTATTCAATAATTTATAAACAAATGATTTAGTTATTTCTAAGTTTATTTAAAGGTCTTACGCATTCTTACGTAGTGCAATCTATTTTTAACTTTTATGATAGATTTAAATGTATGCGACAGATATATGTGACACTATATGACACTATGGCTGTATATGAGCCAAGTAAATTTATTGAAGGAGTAATTTTGTCATATGAAATTGTTAATTCTTGCACACATTCGTAATGAAAATAAGAAATTGAATTCAAAAACTTCAATTTTCTCATCTATTCGACTTTTTTTTTTTATTTCATGATGACAAATGTGACAATGAAAAAAGAAAAATGCAACAACAATGCAGCAACATGCAATTAGCGGAATTGATAGTTACCATAAGTGATGTTAATTAATTTACTGAGTATATCAAAAATCACTCAGTACTAAATATATTCAATAAATTAGTTATCGTTATTTACGGTAATTGGTTAAATACGAATCAAATAGTTATATTTTAAATTAGCCATTCTATTTTAAGAGAAAAAAGAAAGAAAACAAAATAAAAATTAATTTTTTTTTGTTTTTGAACAATCTTTAACTGAAAATAATTATGTATTATTCAAATTAAATTAACAATTCAATCACTTCCCTGCAATACTAGCAAAATGAAAAATTAATAATATTATCTAATTTTTCAGCACTTAATTAAATTCCTTTCATTCTTTAATAAAATTTATTAATATTAGCAATTATTTATAACTTGTGCATATCTAGCTATTTAGTTTAATGCATAATTATATCTAACAACATTTAGCCTATGCATGATTATATTTAGCTATATTTAGCTTATGTATAATAAAATACCGTAACCCGTAATAAATGATAATTAAAAATTTCACTTTTTTTTATTTTCGAATTTTTTTCCTTTTTTTTGTACTAATTAGTAAAACTTTAGAATACTTTGTTTAGTTTAGTGTCATAATTATATTTAGCTTATGTATAA